CTTATGGTTCAGCAGGACTTGCCACAACGCACAGCAAGCCTTAAGTTTAGTTTTATCCATAGCTAACAAATTTGGTTGGCAAGTAATAATTGCTTTATTTTCTTTTCCTTTAGTATGATAGCATTTGTTCCCATAACAGAAGTGACTGAGTTGGGTTGGCCTTTTATTAAACACTCTCAGTACAAAGTACACAGGAGATAAGGAGCAGAAAGTTAAGTACAGTGCAGCACTTCAAGTGTAAAGAAAGTGGAAAGGAATTTCCCTCAGGTGTGTCTAACCACTGTGCAGTATATAAATGACATTAGTGTGGTGCTTAAGTGAATCACATCTCTGCATCATTCATTAACTTTGAATACACATAAATAATGGGCTTAGTTTAGCTTCAACCAACCTTTTAAATTTGGGAAAAAAGATCTACATACCTTTTGTTGAATCCCATCTTAATGATTTCTAAAGTGAAAGTCTTGCATCTGAAGAAAGCAAAAGGCGAGCAACCCTTCTGTAGAGTGGTTAACCTGCTCTTAAGGCTAAGGGACATTTGTCCCAGAAACTCTTATTGAGCAGGGAATCCATCAGGGAAGAATTGAGAACTTGTGAGAAAGTAGGTCAAAATGGACACTTTAGGTTTGCTATATCCTTCATCAGGAAGCCATGTAAACTTTAATCCTCTGGATTTATTCAAGTCATCTTTGGTGGATGTTATTTCTGTACCTTTTCCTCATATCCTGGAATTACTGGCCCTGGAGTTAATTCCACATGGACTGATTTTAAAAGGTTTTAAAGTGACATGTAAAATATCATGTTTCCCTAAACTTCCCAGGCATTCACATATAACGAGGTCTTCATTAATCCACGTCTGTATCAAGTGTTCCCTAGCACCAGGGTGCCATTGACGTTCTTATCCTTTATAGTACCTACTTTGTATCTACTGTGAGACAAAAATAGTTTAACTGATCCTATGTAATCACGACAAGAGATTAATTAAAATGCCAAGATAGGAAACAATTTATTATAGAGAGAAGAAAAATTTCTCATCCAAAATATAGAAATCTGTACAACTTTTGCCACAATCAATATACATGAACTGTACAAATTTACACCAGTTCATAATTTACCAAATAAAAGATGACTAACAAAGTTCACAAAATAGATGGTGGTTTGTGGAAAAGACTTTTACCCAATTAAGAACAAGGAAATTACAAACCAGACCTCCACTTTCTAAAAATAAGAAGTTTACTCAGTCTTAGAAAACTACAAGCTAGCAAATGTACAGATAGCTGGCTGGTGCTAACACCACAGTTCAGACAGTGTCTTTATACGGTCTTTTTAAAGCCTGTTGCCATGGCAGATTCTGATCACTTGCTACTTTTGAGGCCAATATAAAGATCTGACCACTTCCCCAGGTCATACTTACTAGTTTGTCTTATGTACATTTATACATATTTGTAAGTGCTAGGTAAAAGTCTGAAAGATAAAATTTCCAGTACTATTGTGTTCATAACAGTAAGTCTTGTTACTGAGCTGCCAAAAATGCTAACAATTAATAAATGTAATAGTGCAAATTTACTCTGCAAGACCTATTGCAGAGAATCACTTTATAAATACAGATTGGAGTTGAAAGAATTGGTGTAGAAATTAAGTAAGATGTCTTGGAGAAACTGACCCTTCCTAGATCTTCTTCACTCCCTAGCAAGTTGTAATCGTTTTGACTCACAGGCTATTAAATCACTGAAAGGTACTGTCCAAACTATGGCACTGTCACTTTAAAGTATACCACTCTAATGTGTGCCAGATCTTCACAGCTGTGACATGGTTTAAATTCCATAATCCATCCCCAGAGGTGCCCACCCAAAGTAAAAACCAAATTTATCCATCCATTTTAAGGTGATCCATCCACAGACTATATCTTAACCTGATACAGTCATCATATTGTAGCTTTTGGAAGGGCTAGTTCTGCCCAAGAGAAGTTCCTCCTTACAGCTTATTCTGCTGTCTACCATTTGCATGTTGGTGTTATTTTGGCTACCTCCTGCTGGTGCAGCTTCATACAGCACACAGATTGAGCCATCCTCTCCAATACGATAGGACACTTCATACGGGTCAACCCATAGAGTGAGTTCGCTTGGAAGAAGCTGGAACAGTTCCTGACTGCTCAATCCAATCCGCTGTGCTGCCTGTCCAATGAGAGGATCCATTTTATGGTTGATCCGGATACATCGGTAACCTGATCCCTTGCATGGCTTTTCTGGGAACCAGTGGTGTTTATAATGTTCTATAAAATAAGAAAAAAGATTATCCTCCTTAACTCTGTATTCAAAAAGACGTACAGTGACCTTTGTTCTCTTACCTATTTCACATCTCAAGAGGCTGAGAAACTTATTTAGTAAGAAGTAACCTGAAATATCATTATGGTCTTTATTTCGGCAGATGCTTTACATAAGTGCAGTGTCCCTTGCAAAGTACTCATGCACAAAGTTATTGTTCCATACCACCATATATAGAGAACAATGTTTGCCATCTGAAACGAGTGAAATAACTTCCTAGCATTCATAAAAAACTACAAAAGTGATTACATATAGAGCAGAAAAGCTTAAGGACTCCAACAATCCACAGATTGAGAAGGAAAAAGCATCTTTTCAGCATCATCTTACCCATGCTTAGTTTCTCACATCCCAAGAATAGCTAGCGACTAGAGAAAGAGCTGGGCAGGCTTTATTTACTTATTCAAACTGCACTTCTCCACTGCTCTTCCCAGCCTGTTTTTCAGGGCTGGTATCAGTGACTTACCTTGCCCTAGAGATTCATCCCACCCAAAAACCCCCATAGGTTTGAGGCTACTTGTAGCACAGGACACTAGGCACCGTCAAACATGCCAGGACATGCTCCTGGGATTTCCAAACCGATAGGGCAGCGCAGGATAACTTTGTATTTGATCCTAACTGGAGCTTTCGGGTGGTTGTTGTTAACAACAGCTACGAGGTGCTTCCAGGAGACAGAGGAGCTGAGATAGCGCTTCAGTGTCTGAATTTTACTTGACCAAAGAAAAAGCCATTCAGAAGCGCTTTTCCCAGGGGAAAGCAAGCGGCTTGATCCCTTGCAGCAGGGCGGCAAGTCCGGGTTGCTGTGC